CATGTTCCTTCGTCCTTCTCGCTCTTCGCTTCTTTCTCACCGTCACTATGTTACATGGATAGGGACCACCCCTGTCAGCTTGGGGAAAAAGAACACCACAATAAGGACTGCTCGCATTGGTCTGTCTCGCCAATTTAGATTTTTCCACATTCAAGTCGAACGCGCGTACAGTAATCCTACTTCTCTTTATTTATAATCCTTTCTTACCATTATCATGCCCACAAGTAAAAGGCCCATAATCTAACTGGCTGGTCAAATATAAAGAAAAATAAAATTGGTCTCTTAGAATCATCGCACGATTCTTACAGGGCAGATCCAATTGGTGATCACACTCTTGTAGTCCGTTCATAACATACTAACTGAATTTGGTCATGTGTGCAGTCCTCTTATCGTTGGAATTGTCGTACTGGGAAATGAAGATCGACACTTGTCATGTAAGAATTTCAATTCAAGTTAACAGGTTATGTTTGAAATTGTATCTTACGAAAGCGCAATTCCAGTTCCAATTACCTCAAGGACATAGTAGATTCGTTCTAAAGCGAATAAAACTTTCTTACTTATATGGTTATCCTCTTACTTTAATCATTGAGGGATGAGAATTTTGGTAAAGTATATATCGCATATTATTAAGCAAATCAGATCAGATTCTGATCTGATTTATCACTGTTCCTTTCGTGTCCGTTTGCCGCCTGTAAGTAAAAGGACTGAAAAATCCAAAAAACCAATCCAATAAAATGCCGATCGACTAATTGACTAGTCTACGCTTGACAAATTGGTTTATAATTTTTATATATTGGCATGACTTGATAATTATCGAAGATTTGACAAGCGAAAAAAGTTACGATCGACACGCCCATATTCAAGGAAAAATTTTACCAAGTATGTATTAATATATGGTGATGTCTATAGAAGACTGACCATAAGGCGAGGATAACTTTCTCACTTGTTTATGAGATAAATAAGTTCTATGCGGGATGCGCTAATAAATTGAAACAAATTTCTGCAAGTCTTCTTAGAAATATTCACTTTATATCTTTGAGATTTAGCAAGTTACTGTAGGTAATAGCCGCAGCAGTAGTAGTAGTGGTAGTAATAATAATAACAGCACTAGCACTAGGTAGTGTACAAAGGCGAAGGGAAAAATTTATAAACAAAGTAAACACTTTCATCTCTCGTGCATGAAATACGAACAAGGAGTTCTCCTCTTCACAATTCCTCTTGTCCTACCAATTATTTTATATAAATTAATAATATTTCCTCGAAGATACTTATACCATTCTATCGGTATTGCGTCGCACTTTGATTGCTTCCTCATAATAAATTTATACTTTAAACTTATGATGTACGAAGAGTGATTGTTATTGAGAGAGATAATATTAATTGCTACGTCATTAACATTTAATTGCTTATCTTTGGTTTTCCTCAATGCGGAAGAAGTGTATAAACTTAAGTTATCAGGGTTGCTGTTTATAATTTGATGTCTTTCGGGCATATAGAAAATGGTGATTATAGGTTTTGGATGAGATTGATACGAATTCTTTGAAAAAAAGAACAAATAGGTCACGGCGTACCTTTAAATATTTTATATTAACCTACAGTTATTCGTGTTGCGATTTTTGAAAATAGGGCGTTATATGTAAGATGATCGAAAAAGAGGTTCGTTCCGAATCATTTCCTATAGTTTTCATGTTTTCAAAAAATTTCAAAAAAGTTGCAAACTTTGCGACTGTAGATTGAATACAAAGGGACAAGAGGTACAGAAGAACAGACAAGTTTGATTTAGAAAGTTGTTCTATAGTGATTCTGAATGAACTGGTATAATAAAAGGTGCATTCTACAGTTTCTGCAGTTATTCGAAAAAGTGACCGGTACGAACGATTATCAATAGCGTCCGTTCTTGAGCCATACATATCTGTGCACAAAATGTCATGAAAATATCTCAAAAACGACTTTAGATTGAATATAGAAGAAGAAGCCGGACAGATGGACGGACAAGATGGGTTTGAAAGGTCACTCTGAAAGTGATTCTGAATCGCCGGGTTTAATGAAAGATGGGGTATATCTCAAGTGGTTTTGGGTGCTGCAAACATCCGTCGAAATTTGACATACCATAGAAATGTAGCGCCACAAGCGTCGTTGGGTATAAAGGCGCTATAAGAACTAAGGAATTAGTAACAATTTTTGGAAATATATATACAATAAAGTCAAAATTCAAAGGGCTGCAAACGCTTGAGAACGTCTTGGAATCGGCGACTTTTGGTTCTCAGTAACATTTGCCTAAAAGACAAGCATGGCAGAAAGGGTAATAAACTGACACCGGGATTGTATAAATCCTCACGTTTATTCTATTATCCAGCCAGTTACCTTATCATTTATCCTCTCAAATATTAGTCACGTTGTTCTCCCATACATTCTCTTATCCGCCTAGTTACTCAACACGCTATTCTATCAATTATCCACCAATCTTCCTCGTTATGCTCCCAGTTATCCAATGCGTTATCCTCTCTATCATCCTGCCAAATAACCTCCTACGTCTGCATGGTTAGTCGAGTAGATCTAATATATAATTTTCTTCCTTGTCCTTTTTAGTTTTTGTAAATTTAAATGTGGACGGACATGTCGAAATCTATTTAAAAACTTCTACAAATGAAAGAATAAATCCAATACGCTGTCTACCCATCGCCCTCAAGTAATGTTTAAAAAAATTATGTTATTATTATTCGAAGGCTATCGCCTTTATTGAAGAGGTTTAAACCCATGACCATTAAGTTGCCGATTCAGACACTTTGCCTCGGGTAGATATAAAAAAAAATACTTATAAAAATAATATGATTATTACATTGTTCAGTGTTCCAGTAATTTCTTATATAATTTTCTTCATTTATTTTTGCAATTTTTAAAGAAATTTAAACAAATAACTTTATTCATGGACGCCTATTGCCCTTTCAGTTTTATGGCTTGAATAAATACGTCTACGATGCGTGAAGATCAAAAACAAGCATAATATATAAGTTAAATGTATTACGAAGCATAGCTTAAAATAATATGAAGAGAGTTATTTGTAAGATTTATAAGCTAATTAAATATGAATTGAGTATGTGTGTGCGTCTTAACTATGATTATCACAATAGCAATACAACAATGTAAGCATATAAAATGTGTTCATATTGTTATGGTCTTATACGTGCCTATACAATTAATTATATACTAAAAAGTTTAACTGTTGAGAAAAAAAAGCTTTTTCACTCAGCATCGGTGAAAGGAAATAAAACAGAAAAAAAAAAAACAAACAAAAAAATATGAAAAAATAAATCAAAAGTTCTTAAAAGTACATAAAAGTGCACAAAAATTTCTTACACAAACAAAAATTAAAGAGCATAGGTAGTAGTAGTAGTAGTAGTTAATAAAAATTGCAAACGTCACATAGGTAAAGGAAAAAGAGAAAGAGAGAGAGAGAGAGAGAGAGAGAGAGAGAGAGCGCGAGAGCAAAAGCGAGAGAGACGCTCAAAGGATGTTTCGCTTGGAAAGGATATATGTATACGACTATAAATTACGCTTTGCAGAAAGAGCGAGCGAGCGAGCGAGAGAGAGCAAGAGAAATTTAAGGAGAGGATTGTACTAAACTAAATGACACGAAAAAAATTCATAGCAGCATCCATGAAAGAAAGAAAGAGAGAGAGAGAGAGAGAGAGAGCGAGAGAGAGAGAGAGAGAGAGAGAGAAAACAATTGACATCGTGTTGAAGCTTTTGAAAAGTATGTTTCAAACTTTACTTGGGTTTTTGATCCGTGTTTGGAGTGACATAGGGACAGACTTAGAACGATAAAGTTCTATCCGAGATTTTTGTGAGCAAATTATTATATTATAATACTTTTAAAGATTAAAAATGAAAAATTAAAAAAAAAACCCAAAATCATTTGCGTATAAGCTTTATAGACCTAATTAATATTTTAATTAATATTTTTTTTATTATTTTGTTATGAAAGTTTTTTTAATATTCTAAATATTCTAATTATATGTAATATATGTATATGTATGTATGTTCGTATGTATTGTATATGTTCTGTTTTGTTATTCTGTTTTGAATTTGCTTTGCTGCTGTCTGCCCCTTTTTGACTTTTCGTGAGAGTAAAACTTAACTTGCTGTAGGCTCTTATGATTTTTTTAGAATTTAAAATTTACTTTACTGTGTGTTCTTATGACTTTTTAAGAGAGAGAGAGAGAGAGAGAGAGAGAGAGAGGGAAAAGAGAAAAACTGATTGAGTTTGCTCATTTAAATTTCAATATTTATTAGCCTTAACGAGTTAGACTCTTGTCTTTTCGACTCTTACAGAATCAACAGCATCATGCGCATTACGTAAAACAGTGGCGTAGACGTTGATAGGCGTTGCAGGTGTAAACAATTTCGTTATATAAAAGAACTTTTCCTTTGGTTTTTTTATTGGCTTTGCACCACAATTTTAACTTCTTTCTTCCACGTGACACTGGTTTTGTTTATTGACTAATAGTCACTGTTTTATGTTATTATACGAACTATTTAGATTGTCGTGTTATCCTTCCGTCACGTTACGTTATTTACTCGAAATCTACATTGTGGCCATTAGTTTTGCGCATTATCACCTTACGATGGCTGACTTCATGTTCATAATCATAATCCTATGTTACTCTTCGACTATGCTTTGATACATGTAAGAGTATCCCAGTTTTGGCAGTAAATCTAAGTATAAATGCCATATATTTTATGTTACAATTACAGCTGATGCTTGGTTAGCACGTTATATTTGTGTTATTGTACGTCATAATGCTTGCGATGGAATCTATTCTATCCACAAAGGTGGAGACAGTTGACGTGTACGGTTGTGTTTAACGGTTAACGGTGCTCAAGTGATAAAGTGTGCAAAACTCTGGAGCAAATAATTTTTTTACTTTATAATGCATTCCTATATATGAGAAAAGAAATTTTTTTTTTTTTATTTTTTTTTTTTTTTAAATGCCAAAAGAAAATATGTATAATATAAATAAAATGCAAAATATTATATGAAACATTATATTAATGAGAAGGAAAGCAAGATAATTCTTTAATTAATAAAACAGAAGAGTAACATATCAAAATTTAGAACTATCGCATTATCCACAATTAGCTGACAAGGATAACGTTGAAGAAAAAAGCAAAAAAAAAAAAAATTAAAAAAAAAAACAAAATCACATCCTTTGTTATCAGGCATCCAAAGAAAAGTCCAACCAGTAAAAAGGTAGTATACCAACGTTTCTTTAGTGAGAAGAAAAGCACGAAAAAAAAAAACAGCAAAACTTTCTCTGTCCTAACCCTACCCCACCCCTCTCTCCTGCTTTACTCATCTCAAACACTTAGCGCCAAGCCAAACGCATAGAGAGAGAGAGAGAGAGAGAGAGAGAGAGAGAGAAAGCTCTCCTTTAACATTTTAAATCAACATATACTCACCACACCCTGATCCTGTATGCCTCGATGTATATACGGTCCAACACGACTAAACACAAATACTAAGATAGACCATCAGTAGGCATAAAGGAAATATGAAGTTAAATTGCAGCGTATGCGTATAAAAGAAATAATAAAAATACATCTAACTGTAATAATAAAAGCAAAAGCACCAAAAACAACAACAACAACAAGAACAACAACAACAGTAAATAACGAATAAAGAACGAACGCCAAATTTCAGAATTCGTTGATAAAAACAAATATTAGATTTACATATGTATATTATAAGTGTAAACAATGAAGACAGTTGAATTTTCTCTCTTTTGCATGTTAATGTATGTGTTTGTGTTTGTGTTTGCGTGTGCGTGAGTACATTTAGATGTGTTTGTGTTAAATTTTTGTTTTTTTTCTGTGAAACATATTTTTCAGAGATTTCCAGCCATTAAAACTTGTTATGCTTACAGTTTATCGAACATATATATAAAACTTGTTGTAAAATTTATTCAGTTATTGGCGATAGTGAGTTGTATGCGTTCGTTATAGTCTTTCGAATTTTTCCTTTCATACTATATTTAAAGTTGTGTGATGTTATGTGATGTGATGTATATGCATTAAAATGATACATATGTTCGTCCTGTTTTTTTTTTTTTAATTTATTAAGGAACATTTCTTAAGTAAATAAAAAAAATAAAAAAAAAAAAAATTAAAAAAAAATGAATCAACAGCTCTTGGTGTAAACATTAACTATTAAAAGAAATTTATTGCATTTTTTGGAAAATAAAAGGAAAAAGGAGGAGCAAAAAACATACTATTTTTTTTTTTTTTTGATATTCAAACATCTCGAAAATGTGTAAATATTTATTTCTAAATGATTTTGTTTAATTTAATTATTCTAAGAGAGTGAGAAATATATGAAAATTTCGAAGCATCATTATCATCATCACCATCGTCATTACAGATGTTTTTGTTGTTTGTTGTAAAATAAATCATAGCCACAGCCTTAAAAAATATCGAAAAAAAAATAAAAAAAAAAAAAAATAGAAGAGTGTAATACAAAGTAAAGCAGAAAAAACAAAAAAAAAGTGACTTTAAAGCAGAACATTTCAAGCCAGCGTATAGAGCGCGTGAGTGCATTGAAGAAAGAGAGAAAAGAAAAAGAAAAAGAAAAGAAAAAAGAGAGCATTGACTTGAACATATTTTTGTATGAGAAAAGCATAATCACACAGGCATATGCACACACACACACACACACACACATAGCCATAGACACCAAAAAACACATTCAAAAAAAGAAAGAAAGCTTAACTTCTATACAATGTACAAATGTTTGATTTTTGTTTGTTGTGATTTTCTTTTAAGAGCGATTTTGCTTTGCTTTACTATGATGTTTATTGTGTTTTTATTTTTTTTTTTGTTTTCTTTTTTTTTTTTTTTTTTAATTTAGATAAGCCCATGCGAAGAAGAACAACAGTTCAGATAGTTTTTTAAAGGAAAAAGACAAAAAAAAGTTAAATCATTTCAAAGCCTTCGATGCTAGAGCTTTAAGAATTTATTTAGTCTTTCAATTTTTTCCTCTGGCTAAAATAATTATAATAATAATAATAATAATATTAAATGCCCTTCAGTTTTTTCTCTTCCAATTTAATTATAAATAGATCCTAAAAGTAGGCTTGCATTTTTTTTTTTTTTTTTTAAATAAACTAGTCAGACCTTGGTTTTATGAATCATGAGAATAAGTAAAAAAGGAAAGCCTGTGTCGCCTAACAATTCCTAGGTTCAAATCTCAAATGCGGTAGAGATTTCAGTAAAGCCGATAGACTAAGATGCTGGTACTTTAAGACCTTAGTCTTACAATTTATTCTTTGGTAAATTAATAATAATAATAAAACAAGGAAAAAACTTTTGAAAAGAGCGCATTATAAAGCAAGTGGTAGGAAAAGTGATGCGACCCCAACCGTTTTCAATTGCAATCGCTCTTAGATCAAAACACGTAGATGTTCCAAATTTCTTGAAAATATGTCAAAAAGTGCGGCCAGCACAAGAAAACAAGAAAGACAGATAGACAGATAGCTTAGATCGATGCAAAAAGAGATTCGGAGTAAATCGGTATAATGAAAACTGGTGATTCTACCTCAAATTCTTGCGGATGAATGTTCTCTACGCCCGCACAAACTTAATACGTTACTTAATGCGCACGGTAGGTGTAGGGTATAAACAAATTTTAAAGCAGAGATAAAATTTGAAATGTTCGATAAATGTTTGATTTGCAGAAGAAATAAAAACCCATAACGAAATGGTACCCATCTGGAAAGGAATTTTTGGCGCACATCATTTGTTAAAAACGCTAAATAAATTTTCAATAGCGTATGACCTTGAGTCAAAACATGCCAGTGTATCAAGTTAATTTGATCGTAATATCTCAAAAATTGCAGCTTGTAGGCCAAAAAGCAAAGTTAGCAAGGCGGACAGAGGGATAGGCGGATAGAGGGACAGATGGACAGATTTCTAGAGGTCTATCTCTAGAGTTCTCCTGGGTGTTGAATACATCCGCAAAAACTTAATATATCCTTGTGTAGGATGTAAAAAGGAAAACACTTAATAAATTATTTATTATATCTCCGTTAATCGATGAAGTGTTTAATAAGCATTAAAAATTTGTATGCGTAAGGAAAATAACGAAATATATACGTATATATAAGTGATTGCTCAGTGACAGGGGAGTTCAGAGTTTTCATGGAAAATGCAAAAAAAAAAAAATATTTTATAAAAAGAATCGTAAAAAAAAAACAAAATTTAGAATACCATGTCATTCGGACTTTGTTTTATTTTTCCTTTTTTTGATTTATTTATTTTTCCTTTTCTCCTTTCCCTTCTTTTTCTACATATTCGAGAGCGTGCGTTCATGTACATGTATATGTATTAAACGTATGTGAAGAAAGAAATAAGTGAATGACCGGATTACTTTCCTTTTTGTTGTATTTAAATATTTGAAAGACTTTTATAAAAATAAAAATAAAAAATATTTTCCTATAGCTAAAACTCCTCGATTGATCATATTCCATGTCTATCATATCTTATATGTATGGGTTTATCAAATATGAATTTTTTTTTGTTTTTTTTTTTAATTTTTAATAAAAACAAAAGCCAAACGGTAAACGATGTCAAGATGAATTTTCTTTTATTTTAGTTAAAAATGATTTCACTTACTAGCGTGTCGGTCCAAATAGGTAGATCAAAGGAATTTTTTCTTAATTAAATTTATTCCTCATTCCAAATCTTCAAAGTAATTTTTCAATTGAAATAATATTCCTCGTTAGTGTATAGTGCAGAATACCCCCCCAGACGAAGGAAACTTCTAGTCCAGAAAATCTTCTGCCTCATCGCCTTCATTGTCTTTATAACACTCAAATAATATTTCTTCTTAACAGTTTGTCCCGGCGAAAGGAATTCTTTGTGCACGATAATCCAAGAAAGCTCTTAGTATCATCTCGATTTTTGAGCAACTTTGGCTTGGTTTTCTCTGTCTTGGCCGACCTTTTGCCCGATATTCTCTCGTTTGTTCGATGTAGAGTGGGTAGAGTGGGTAGATTTAAGTCTCATCTCTTGTAATAATCAGTTTTATGATCGATTGATGGTCAGAAAACATCTCCTTACACACATTATAACAAATGGGGAAAAAGCACTTTCTGTGTATCGTACAAAGCCAAGCGCGATTGAAATACTCAAGACATTTGTTACGAGAAATTTGAAACGGATGCCAACACAGTCAAAGTGCTAACAATTTAGAAAGAAAATATTTCTGATGTCCGATAAGTCCGTCCAATTTATCGTGAATATTATGGATGGATGTTCTCTACGTCCGCACAAACTTAACACGCTACTTAATACACACGGTTAAAGTAGGGTATAAATAGACTTTGAAGCAGAGATAAAACTTGAAATGTTCGATAAATGTTTGATATACGGAAGAAATAAATACCCATTGGGTCTTGCCTGCACGGTATTAAGTGAAAGCCTCTGCAAATATTCAATCTTGACCCATAAAACGATGACCTTGTATAAGATTCATTTTTACTCTTGATCTTGCTAACGGAGACGGAATAAAACATATCTGTTTTCTCGGTAGGCGTCCGGCGATGAGTGCATCTATGTAAACCATATAAATCTATCTTTGTTTTTGTTATACATTGTCGTTGAAAACACGGTGAAAATATTTTAAACTTTAATCCCAAGACCAAGCCTAACATTGTATTAATTGGTAGATAACAAGGAATGATCTTAGGAACTTTATTGGAATTTCATAAAAGTGTAGACAAACGGCCCGTGTTGGCCGTGTCCCATCGGGACCATTAAATGCTTTACAACTGCTTGTAGTTGTTCATATAATGACTTTTCAAAATAAGGCTTTATAAGAGCAGTGCCCGAAAAAGTGGTTCGATCCGAACCATTTTCAATAGTGTTTGTGTTAGTAGTAAAATAGTTCGTAGGTTTTATCAAAATATCTTGAAACTTGCGACCTGTAGGTTGTCTACAAGAATACGAAACAGAAGGACGAGCAAACAGACAGACAGACAGACAAGTTTAGATCGACTTAGAAAGTAATTCTGTAGAACTTGAGATGGAACTAAATATACCATCGCGCCACGAGTGATGAGGGTTATAATAATAATAAATAATAAACATAATCAGACAATAAAAGCAATAGCAAAAGAAATATAATAATAATCTAAAATAATAACAAAAAAAATTTTAATTATTCTAAATTATAAAAGAACGAAGAAGGTCGTGGTTGCCTTAAGATTAATTTATTGCTTCTTCAATGACTAAATCTTCGAATTATTTTATTAATTGTTTAGTTGGCCTAAGGTTGGCCTGGTTATGTCAACTTTTAATCTAATAGCTTCTGAGAAAGTCTTCCCGAAGGCGGAGTGAGCTCGCCGGAATACCGTGTCCTCTCACAAGATTCATTTATACTTGCGATCCTAGGTTGCTGTGTTATTTGCAGTACTTGCTTCATAAGTGTTTCTCATTGACTCCCTATACACGAAACCACTTAATTACTTGCATATCTCGCGACTTAGTTTTATTCCACATTGAATAGTTAGAGTTGAGCTATCTTTAAAATTAAATCAAAGAAGTTTTTATTTACATTGTAGAATGATAGGAAACAATGACTGGTATAACAGAAGCATCTGTCAAAGGAAAATTTCCTTTGCATCAAACTAAGATAATGCCCGCCACCGATACGTCTATCTCATTTCGAATCCTAAGCAGGAGAGACCGAGATCCCATATCGAACAAAATGACTCACAAAAACGAAAGCCGACCTTTTGGCTCCACGAAAGATAGATTGACACTTCCAACCTTGCCGGTGTTTTCATCTGAGATGCCCATAATAGATTGTTAGTCGCTGTCCCTTCAGCTCTAACTTGCAACTGTTTTCATTTTTTTAACCTAATCTTAATCCTACCAATGTCTATCGTGAGATAAGGGAGGGTAAAACGAGAGTACGACGTTGCCTCCTCACAAGTTTTTAACTTACAGCCTTTTTCCTATTGGAGCTTTTTCCGGTTTGAAGTTCGGGGAATTTTCAAATTTCTTTTCTGCTTATTAGCTAAGAAGGAAAACTATGTGAAGACGCACAGCATCGTTTAATATATGGACGTACGGAAAGAAACGGATCTGAATCTCAGCCCTTTTGATTCCCTTGTCGATTAGATATAGATATCGTATTCCTTTCATGAACATTTATGTCGACCTAGACTTTACTTTACCCAATAAGGTTGTAGGGTGACACATAGATGTGTAGCCTCACTCAAACAACTCTAACTTGTAAAGTAATAGTCGCAATGTTATGAAATTTTGACATTTTTCGTTTATATGAAAAATCATGTGGTCAATATATCATTCTAAGTACTTATTGACCGATTTGTTAGTATATAAATACTAGTTAGTATATAATACTAAATGTGTCGTATATCGAATACTTATATTTTAATTCACTGAGAACAGTCCGCACCACTTATGGTACAAGGACAAATTAAGTTTACGGGCTATATGCAACATCCATAACAATTTGATAAAGCACTTTCCTCCATAATACCGATTGATTCAGAATCACTTTCTAAAACTATCTAAGCTTGTCTGACCGTCTGTTCTGTGTGCCAGACCGTCCGCTATGTGACGTAGAGCTCGCAATCTTTGAAATATTTCGATGAACTGTGACACACCCAACCATTTCGACCTTACGACGCACACTATTGCAAACGGATGCGGCCTTGTCTTGTTTTGAAAGTAATATATGGAAATATACAGTAAGAGAAGTTGTGCAGTGTGTTTTCATGGTGAGCCGAGATTAACTATAGTCTTTTTACTTCTTTGAAAATTAATTAATAAGTGAATGTTAGGCGGAAAAAGAAAAGTTATGACTAAAAAAGTTTAAGTTACGAATACTTAGCTTTGTTCAAAAAATTGAGGGAATGTTTTGTTTTAAAAATACTCGCTTTTCGAATATCAATGGTAAAGGTTCGTTTTCTAGCTTAATATAATAGTCATTAAAATTGGGCAGAACTCTCAGTCAACTTGAGCGGTTTAAAACGGTTGTCGGTACGAATCGGTTTCAAATAGTCACCCAAAGCAATACCCATATGAGTCTGGAAGGACATTGAAATGAAAAATTTACGAGCTGTTATGGTTTTATGCGAAATAACATTAACAGAGAGTAAAATTCAACAAATTTGCTGTCATAAATCTAAAAATTTTTTTTTTTTTTTTTTGTAAATAAATTCACACAAGTAATGCTGATGGCTAACGGAATATTTTCTATTACATACTTGACCTGTTTCTTATTGTTTCATTTAAATTTATTTATTTTCTTTTAAAATAGTTCTATATGATAATATGCTGGTAACCAATTGAAAGAAAATAGCAACAACAATAACAAAAGCATTGTAATTAGCGTAGATCTTTAACCATTTCAACTATAGGCAGTAAAAATTTTACAAAAACAAATTAAATAAAAACATTTATGTATTATATGAAATCAAAAAGCAACCGCATACTCATCGCTATCATTAATTAACAAGCTAACTAACTAACTAACTAACTAACAACAACAACTATAGTAACAAAGACATTAATAAAAATTGAAAAAGATTATAGTTCGCCAAAGGGGAAGAGACATCAGCAAACGTCAACAATAACGTTAACAACAAAAAAGCAACAGCAGCGTCAGCAGTAGCAGCAGCAACGATAATAATAATAACAACAACAATAATAACAATCATTACACGACAACAAACCATACAAAACATATTATAATTAGAGAACAATTACAGCGTTTTAATTGAGGTGAGTTACAAAAGTGCAAACAGAAAAATGTGTCATATTTGCATTAATACAAAAATACACTGACATACGTACACGCAAACACAGGCACATATTCATGCATACATATATACATATACATATCTATGCATATATATATATATATATATATATATATATATATATATAAAAGAAAAAACTATGTACGAAGGGACAGACAGACAGAAGGACAGATGAACATATATCAAATATATATATATATATATATACATATATAGAAAGGAGTGAGTAAAGTGTCATTATTTAAAATGAGATAAAATTAATTGCAATTAGGGCGAACACAACACCAAATCTCATCTCATTTCTTATAGAAATCTATGATTGAAATGTCAAAACAATTACTTAAAAACATACTCATGTTTATATTTATATTTATGTTTATATATTTATTTTTACCATTATGTATACGACTTACATGAAGACTTATCTTAGAACAATTTGTCGCTTATCGGTGATTTATTGCTGTCGATTTACGTCCAAATTTGATAAAACAATATATTGCGTATAATGTTCGATAAAATGAATTGATTGACATACTTTAAAATTTTTGGTCATATTTGATTTTCGTACATCAACCACATATCGACCACAAATTCTATGCATTTAAATACATTCAGTCACATTTTGTGTGTACGTGTGTGTGTGTGTGTGTGAGAGTGTGTGGGGAATGAATTGTCTTTTGCCAGCACATCATTGCAATATTTGAAATAAATATCGCATAACATTTAATTTAATGAATGTCCATCAATTTTAGATAAGATAGATCTTATCTTTCTATGCAAAAATGTCAGAAACCAAATAAAAAAACAAAAAAAGTTAGAAAAAAAGGCGCAAAAAAAATGAATGCAAGACTTTTTACAAAATTTTTATTAAAATTGTAATAAAAACGAATGAAACCATTATAGTGGGATATTGCTCACCGCTAAATACCCTAGACTAGCCTACGGGTTTTCATATAATGACTTTTCAAAATAAAAGGCTAGACGGGACGTGATCGTAAAGGTGGTTCGATTCGAAATGTTTTGAATAGCGTTTGTCCTTGAGCTAACGAATGTCAATTTAACCAATTTGATCAAAATATATCAAAAATTTGCGGACTGTAGCTTAAAGGTATCAGCTAGACAGACGACAAGACAGACAAGATTGGATCGATTCAGAGTCATTTTCTGATCGGTGTAATGAGAGATAGATTTTGCAGAGGTAGATTTGCACACGTCCGCACTCTAGGCAAGAACGCAAAATAGAAGGAAGCTGGACGGAGGGACAGACAGACGGAAGAGTAGGTAAGCACAGATCAAATCAGAAAGTGTTTTTCATTCCGAAACTCGTTCTAATTGTTATAATAATTGGTTGGATATATCCCAAATCCTCTTGGGTGTTGCATACATCCGCACAAATTTAATATACTCTTGTATCACAAGGGTTGTAGCGTATAATAACTCAGAAAAAAAATTTGCTTTATTTTTATTCCAAACGTGATGAAAGGAAGATCTATATATGTAGGATTTTTGTATGTTGTGTGTCCGACATACTGACTGTAATGTTTTCAGTTGTTAGCAATTAAATACATTTTTATTGTGATATATGAGCGGATAACCAACACAAAAAAAAAAATGTCATATAAAAAAGAAATTATATTCAGATTTTGGCGAGGTTTTCATATGATAATCTTTACAACCATCACCGAAGGGTGAGAGGTATTCATCTTGTCAAAAAGTTCGCAACGCCTAGACGGAAGCTTCTAACACACCACAAGGTATATATATATATTCTTGATGAGCATTGCATTCTGAATGGATTTAAGCATGTCCGTCTGTCCGCTCGGTTGTCGGTCCGTCGGTGTAATGTCTGTTATAAACATTCTTCGGAGGGCAAAAATGAAACTATCGATATCAAAATTGGCAGAAACACTGGAAATTCTTCCACTTGAGTTGGCATTCAAAACGGGACAAATCTAACCAAGGACACGTTTAGAGTACCGCGTAAGCTGAAAGCATTGTGCGGACTAAAGAGAGTGGTCTTCAACTTAAGCTGGGAACGTCTACCGATTACAAACTTTTCTCGAGATATGCCTTTTTTTGAATTGATTACCACTCAATTAGTTCGATACGGTTTCATTTACCAGTTTCGTGGTTGAGAAATGTTGAAGATGGGCCGAAAATGGTTTGATAACCCGCTTGAAACCTCGAAGTTTTTATCAGAAAGACGTCCACCAGCATTAGAGGTGATAGACTGTAGATAACCACGGTGAACAGTTTGATTGTTAGGCTTTGCAATAAGTTAGAATGCTATAGTCGGGCAAGGCTGACCATTAGATACCATACATAAATTCGCTTAACTATATATATTTATACCTTTTTCGCATTTAAAGCCTTATTTTGCATTAGAACTTTTATATGGGTTGGAGGCGAAAACTCCACCTACGTGGTCCAAGCTCTTTATGCCAAATTATTACTATGAAAAAATCAAGGAGTGTTGAAAATTAGACTTTTCTATTTTGTAAAGATTCCATTTCGGTTGGAACGGTTATGTCACAAGAAGTGTTCAAAAAATTGTTCCACCCTTACAAAGTGAAAATCTGAAAATTAGATTAATTTTTCTTTTAACAACTTTTCGAAATAAGGCATCAGAAGAGAAGTAAGCATTCGAATCAATTGCCTTAAGCCAAAATACATTAGTGTACCAAATGCCACCAAAATATCTTTAAAACTGTGACTTTTAGTTTAGACACAAACATAAATGGACAGAGGTCAGACGGACATACGGACAGACAGCTTATAAGAAGAAGTGGATCTATCTCAAGCCACACTGGGCGCTGCAAGCTCAGCACAAGCTTAATACACTCCGCACCCCAAGTAGTTAACAGTATACTAAAGTGAAGCTTTAGCAATTAACACAGTGCCGTACATAATTATTATTATACCTAATATCTTAATACAAAAGTATGTGAAGTTTAGGCGAATGTATACAAATTCCGCAAGAACTTGAGGTAGCTTCGTCTCTTATTATACTGGTCGATTCAGAAAGTGATTTTCATAAGCTCATTTGTCCGACTTTTCGACATTTTAACGGAATTTGAAACACAGATAAGTTTTAATCTAAGGAAAACGGTTCGGATCGGTCACTTTTTCGACAATTTTTTTTATGATTGTTTATTTTTGTAAATCGGTATGTGAATAATTGTATTAAGCGAACTAGTGTTTAATCATGGACTACGACCCACTATAGTGTTCACTTGTCTTTTATGTAACTGTGCAATTATTTCATTTTCATAATTATTTTACTTTATATATATTTATTTTCTTAACTTCGCAATATATCACAATTTAGCAAAGACGCCAAGTTGAGAGATTTGGCAAAGATCCAAACCTTAAAAAAAAGCATGGGCCATTTACGTTTTGCTCAACTTAAAAAAAGTAAGGGAAAATTTCGACATGAATTTTTTAAACTTTTTAGATCCTAATCCAGGAAACACAAAACAAGAAATGATGTGTGTTCACTTTGTAAATTCCGTATGAAATCTTGTGTGACGAATATAGGAAACTTTTGAATTCTAATGTACTCAACTCTTTTTTTACACGTAAGGTTACCGTTCCTTAGAAAACCGGGGAAAAAAATGTTGTGCAGAAATGTTCATGCGGCATATGGTAAATTTGGGGATACTTCCCACGACCCTAAAGAATCGTGTAAAGTGTAAAAAAATCAGATTCTATACTAAAAAACCGTACAAAAAAGTAATAACGAGATTCGCACTACATACCTACAACCTAACAATGTCGAATCTCGATTTGCTACCATGCTTTTGGTTAAGAATAGTTTGATTTGCTACCATGCTTTTGGTTAAGAATAGCTTGAGTCCAAGCTAAGTGGATTAAGATAAGACTGTGACACCCTCGAGCGAACTGAATGTAATTGCTCGACTTCCATTTTGTTTTTCTTCTGGCTTAAGCTTCGTATCTGAGTAGAGGTGTGGTCCCCTCCGTGGATAGGCAATGGATACTATGCAACATATATAGATAAATAATTTAGAGTTTGTGGACAAGGTCTATAAAAGGTTAGAATATGAATGGGTTATAGTCAATAAGAGTGAGTGTTACTGTTTTAAGTGTTATTAAGAGGAAGAGGTTAACAGAAGCCATTTAGGGACTGGAATTCCAAAACTGATTCATTTACGAGAATAGAGTGCCGTAAAAGCAAATCCAAATTTAATTGAAATTAGAATAAAATTAAATTTCGTAGCTTTTCATGGCTATTGATAATGAGCGCGAATAATATTACGGACTGGACCTATAATGCAGACATTGTCATTGATACGTCAGATATGTCTACCATAACTGGCGGGTTTGATGCAAAAGAAGGATTTCGTTCTTATTGGTGAGCCGTGTTGTCTAAAAATCGTATAAAAATACCGCGTAAAAGAAGAGTTGGGTTAAGAACTTCTTTCGTTCGTAGTAGTCCAAGCTACAAACACATATGCGGGCATGAACCGACCAACTACTGATCACGATATTCTCCCAATTGCTTTTTCTTGATGTATGCGAAAGTTTCGGACACTGTCAAAATTAGAACTGAAAAAAGTTTCTTTGAGATTCGTGCAGAACAAGAATATTCATGTAAAAAAAATAAATGTGTTCCTATTGAAGGATCGGGTTATTTAAAAATCGGACAAAAAAATACCGTGTAAAAAAAGAGGCGGGTTAACAATTTCTTTCGTTAGTAGCAGGCCAAGCCACAAAAACATATGTGGAGTGAGGACCAAACTCACAACACTCATTTTGATCCCGCCCTTAGACGTAAGTGTATCGTACGCATTTAGCGTACTTTAAGCTATTTTTACGTACTGTTATTTTTTGCTAAATTTATTACTAGTCAAGTATAGTCTCTATTATCTTTACGTCTTCTTAGCATTTCTTACATATATAATTAACTGAGAGTTGAAGACGTAGAGTTGTTTATTTTATGGT